TACAACTTAATCTTGACTGAACCCTTCGGGTCACACCCAATCAAGTAACCGATCTGAGGTGAAGAATCAATCCGAAGGATTAGATGAGTCGTTAGAGTATTACGGACAAAGACGTCGGATATCGAGCTTAGAGCGTCGAGATCGAGCGTCTCAAGTCGAGTCGAATTTAGAATTCGACGAGACGCAAAATCAATCGAGTTACAAGTACGAACCTAGCCTTAGTCTCGCATTGGCCTAGCCATGAGAGTGCTAGGCTAGGCGAGGTCCAACGCAAGCCTAGCATGCTAGGCGTGCTAGGACATGTGTGCCAGCAGGGCCATGCGCCCAAGCCATCACAGCATCGCATATGCGTGAGGATGTGCTGGGCGTTGGCACTAGGCAAGGGCCTAGCACTGCACCATCGCATGTGTGCTGGCACTAGGCATGGCCTAGCACTGCTCTCGCACCATTGCACCATCGCATATGCATATGCGTGCATATGCGCTGCTAGCACAGTAGGGTCGCAACTTGTGTGCGTGCAGATGCGTTGCTAGCACAGCACTCGTTGGACGTGCGTGTGCGCATGCATAGCTAGCACAACACCAGGCTGCAATGCGCTTATGTGTATGTGTATAAATGCAGCACCCAGCATGTGTGGCTTGCTAGCAGCACGCATGCTGGCAAGGGTGCTCGCTATGCTGGCCACAACATGCGTGCTGGCCGCAACATGCGTGATGGCTAACAAGCACTGCCAAGGCACCAGGCGCCAGCAAGGCTGCCTTGGTTGCCAAGGCTGGGTGGCAGCCAGCTATCCCAGCCATTTGGTGGATACGGTTTGGGTGAGGGGACCAAGGCTTGTGGGCATTGCCTTGGGCAATAAGGCAATGGTCCCTCCCTCTTGAAATGGTCCTCACCTAATCACTCTTCCTCCATTTGCCACTTGTAACTCATTGATTGCATTGTTCATTAATTTGTTTTTTGTTTAAAATAAATTAGTAAGAAAATTCAATTCTCCCACATGGATGGGAGAATGGAGATTCAAGTCTCCTTTCCCTATAAATACCCAAGTTTGGGTTTTGGGAAAAAACTACTTGAGTTGAAATCAATGAGGCTCTAAGTTTGTAATACTCTAGTCTTTCTTGATCTAGCCCCGACTAACCTTTGGGGTAAGGGTCGTTCGGGCCGGGTCTCGAGGGTGGACTCCGTTGGAGGTCGTCGCACTTGTGAGGCTAGAGCTTTCGAAGTAAGAGCTCGATTTGCGAGCGAAGCACGCATCGAGGGTATGATTTTTTTTTCTCTTCTTTTAATTATTGCTTAATTATGTTATGCTTGTTTTAATTGCTTTAGTTATCGGGGCAGGTCTTGGGGGGTTTCCTTTCCGCGTAGTGTGGGTCACTACGAAACCCAACAGCGGTATCGGAGCCACGCTCCTTTTAATTATTGCAATTATTAATTAATTATGGTGTTTTAAAGTAGATTTAATTTCTGGCTTTGCTTTTCTAATTAGATTAGAAGCTCGTTTTAATTAATTTTAAAACTCGTATTTTTATCGATTTGGCTGTCGAACCCGGATTTTGGCTCAAAAATAGTGATTTTTGGGTGGAATCGATGTTCTGGAAAAGATTCATTCCTCTTAGAGTTCTGTCCAGAAGCCAAATTCGAACCAGAAACCCATTTTTTCTGGGGTTTTTCGTTTTTCAACGAAAATTTTAAATCTTTTTGAGCCTTGATTAATGCAAGCATTACAAAGTTAGATTAAATGCATTATTGCATCCCTAATCTACTGCTATTTTAATTATCCTCAAGCATAATTATGGAGTTTTAATTAGTGCTTGAGTTGATACGCTTTTTGTCACAAGAATTTGATTTTTCACAATTATGCAAATAAATTGCATTAATGTGTGAATGTTTGATGTTAATGTGTAATTTTAAGTTCCCAAGTAAGTTAAAGATCTAATCTTTAAATGTTTAATTGATTGGAACTTTAACCCTAAATTCCATATTGAACAAAGTTTGGATTTTTCATGTTTGGTTGATTAAAATTCATGAAGTTCAAATGCTTGTGAGTAAAATTTGATTAATCTTCATATTGGAAGATGTTATCTTGATATTTTACACAAGTATGAAAGTTGAAAAATTTTATCATTAGATGGTTAATTTGTTTTTCCAATTCCCTTTTGTCGAATCCATTATTATTTGCATATTGGCTAAATTAATTATGGACATAGCTAATTCAATTTTAATTATAAAGAAAGACCTAAATTGATTTAAAGAATAGTTCTTGAATAATTTAGGCTTGTGCACAATTAAAATTGAATTTATTTAAGTTGGACTTATTTTATTTTCATTTTGCCCAAAATTAATTCTAAAAATAAATTTAGATTAATTTTATGTCACACGTAAATCGGGTTTAAAATCCCGAGAAAAAGCACGCAAATCGAGGCAAAACCACAAGCGTCACCAAGGCTTGATGATGCGCTACGCTGTGTGGGTTGGGCAGTCGTTGCATGATGGCTGGGCTAGGTGTGTGGGCCTAAGGCCGCTGGGATGCTTGTGCGTGCTGCTGGGCAGCGAAGTAGCAAGCTCCAGCTAGCCAGCCCACTGCTGCCTGCACCAGCGAGCAGCTAGCATGCGTAGCATGCCTAGCGTGCTGCTGGTGCAGCTAGCTTAGCATGGTGCGCTGGGCGAGCTTGCTAGCAGCCAGCACCACACGCAACACTAGGCTGCCTAGCAGCCATGGTGCATAGCTCGCTAGGATAAGTGTGAGCGGTTTTGCTTAAATTTCGAGCTATGATTTTGCAAAATTTTGTCGTTTTAAAATTTTATGTAATTATTTTTAACGAGGTTAGACTTCGATTTTTCAGGCTTTTGCAAAATTTTTTGATTTTGACAAATTATGGGTTATACCGACTTAATTAATCGGATTAATTAAGTATGAATGCGGAATTTAGTGGGAGCTTAATTGATCGCGTAAGCTTTTTGCTTTTTAGAAATAATGAATTAAACAACTTTGACTAGTTTTAATTAGGCGCATTAATCGGATTAACCACCTAAGTTAGTTACTAGTTTTGCGTGTTTAATTATGTATTTCGTAATTTGCATGGGCCATTCACAAATAGTGAATGGGTGAATGGAAGATGTTTTTCAAAACAGGTTATTGAAAATGACAACTAGTGGGGCCCGACTAGGATAGAAAATACGGACTGCGATCCGTTATGTATTTTTGTAAATCTAAATACGGTCGTGAACCGTTAAGTATTTTTGTACTTTAGATTAATCTTAGTCGTACTAGTTAGTTATTTTATTTTGGTTAAGATGTCTCAAGACGACGTTTTCGATGAAGACAAGCCAAGATGAAGACCCATGGAAATTGAAGATTTCAAGGGGTCATGCTAGTTGCCAAATGCATCTATTTTATGCTTTATATATATATTGTGATTATATATATTTGAATGTTAGATGCATGTCTAGGGTTTCAAATGTTGCGGTGATTAGTTAAGTTCACTTAAATCAACCGACATAGAAACCCTAGGTCCCTTAATAATATTGAGCTAAAATATGCCATTCCAAGAACAACACTTACCGAACTAATGCGCGTATGTGATGGACTACGCCAAAGTGAGGCATCACTACTTCCCTAGGAACGTAAGGTATACTAGGTATACAAGTTGTCTTGGTTAAGCTCAACGATATTAGTAAGGAGTCCTTAGATGTCGTGGCAATGGAGATAAAATGTCAAGGAAGCATTAGATGCGACGTTTTATCGAACCAAGAGTAGCTTGGAGCTATTAGCAATTGGATTGCTTACCCTAGAATATTAAGTGTTAAGACAAGCCAAAGCATGCTTAATCACTTTCTGATTTTTGGGATCTTGGAATCGTTTTATTCTCGCCATAAAGGGAAATTTTTTAATGCGTGGATAAGACGCGTAATAAGATTGAAAATTTACATATATGCTTTGAATTTCAAACTTATTATGATCTTGATAAATGGTTAAGCTTTGCACTTATATATTAGTAGAATTCTTAATCAAATTATATTGTTTACATTGATTGGTAAAAGAAATCTTTTGAGAATGGTTCTCAAAAATGGAAAGGCATTTCAAAATACAACATCTCATAATTGACTTTTATGACTAAAGTCCGGAAGGACGGTTGGATATCATGTTTTCAAAATACTAGGTAGTTTTGATAAACATGAAATATTGAGTAGAAAAACTCAAAATTGTCAATAGTTGACAACCAACATATCTTTTCACTTCATACACAAATGAGTAGGACTCATTGATGTAGCAATTCAAGTACGAATTGAAAGAAAATATGGAACTTTGTTTCATGGCGCATTAGATGCTTAACCATGCCTAACAAAGTGTAAAAGTCAAGACACTTAAAGAAATGACTCTTAAAGTTATGAGATGGCGTATAATAAGAAATATAGGAAACAAGGAACGAAAGAAAGGAATAAGGTTCATTTTCTACCCTTGAGTTCATGTTATTATGATCAACTTAGCAACTCGTTATCTTCACAAGTATTGGATACTACTTGAGTGTTCCACTTTGAAAGTGACCTCAAACCGTTGAAGACAAGCTAAGTTATTGACTTACAAGCTTAGAATGAAGCAAGTAATCACTAGGCGAAAAAACGAATTCCCCACCAGTTCAAACCCCCCCTTTCCCACCGATTTTGAACCGGGTTGTATTTGGGGGATGCCAAACCCTATAGATTTCGCACCGGTTCAAAACCGGTGGGAAAAAGGACTTTTTGCACCGGTTCTTAGGGAAAACCGGTGGCAAAAACTGAACTTTCGCACAGGTTTTTGCTTAGAACCGGTGCCAAAAGTCCCTAAAAATATTTTTAAAAAAACTTTTAGCACCGGTTCTTTGCCAAAACCGGTGCCAAAAATGCCCAAAAAAAAAATTTTTTTTTGCATTTTTTTCACTTAAATTGTACCATATACTTATATATAATACTAATATACATAAAACACATATATTTTGTTCAATAACTTGTAATATTACACTTGAAAAAAAAACATATAAATTCTGCTACTGCTGTTTTGCTTCTGCTACTTTGTGTTCTGCTTGCTGTTCTGCTATTGCTATTCTGCTTCTGCTACTTTTTAACCCAGACATTGCATCAACTTGACCGACTCTAATATAACTGCTTACCATAGTTTTTCTATCAAAGTGTTTAGCAAAGGAAAGGGGGAGAACTGTCGAGCTTGAGAAGGAAAGGGTTAGGGTAGGGAAGAGAGTTGTTTATGAGCTTATAGGCAGTAATGGGAAAATAACACTCTGATTAATAGGCAACAGCTGCAGTGGTCGAACCTTATTACACCCAGGGACAAGATCTTGTAGTATTCTCATCCTCTCACTGATCTTTTCTCTTCTAGCCTGCCAGCAAAAGAAAAAAAAATCTGACATTTTATCAACTGTATCATATTCCTACATCTCTGACAGCAAATGGTTTACAGGATAACGATAAATACCAAAAACAATAAGTGTGCTCTCTGCACATTCACAGCAACACATAATAATAACTAACCATTTTCCACTTAAAAGTTACTTATCAGTTGTCATACAATGAAACCAAAGGATTGTTATGTTTTCACTTTGCAGGCTTTTACTAATGGAGTATTTAAGAGTGCAGTGCACGAATTCTGAAAAGATAGGATATATGTGGTCATATTTTTCAACTCGGACGATGATGAAGTTGAACCCCTAAGCGAATTTGTTCCTGAAATTGATAGTTGTTACGTATCATTGGACACACTATCAAATATCTACGACTGGCTAAATAGAGTGCATGTTATAAACTCATAGATGAAAGCATGTGAAATATCATAAAAAAAATCTACGTATGAGCAAAAGCAATTAGCCTGAAGGCTAAACATATCAAAATTTATGATTTGATGCCTTGGATAAATACGGAGTATGAATATTCGCCTTTGGGCTTGAAGCTAGGTAAGGATAAAAATTGTTGATTTTAATATAGATGGTACATATGGATAAAGTACTCTAAAAAACTTTCAAAAGTGTTTCCAAAACAGCATCTTTCAATACCTGGACAACCTATTTGTTTTATAGAAGTATCCAGCATTGCATTATGTACTTTCAGATTTTCAGTGCAATATCTTCCTATGTTCCCATTAATTTATTTATTTTCATCTAGCATCAAATATAAGCTATTCCACATTCCCAAACAAACACAAGGAGGACTAGTCCCAGTGATTTTCACAAACAAACAGATGAAGTACATCTTAGGAAGTTGAACTATCTATGTAATTCTATATTTTTAATCAAATGAACACTAAAGAAGGATCATTTTGTCAATTCAGCCATGTTTGCTCATCACCCAATTATTTGATATTGCTAAGATCCTTCACAGCAAGCCACTCACATATAGCACAAAACATTTAAGAAAAAGTTGATGAGATATCCATATTATCGTGAAGCAAACCAATTTCTGCCTTCACTAATTCGACTGATGAAATTAAACAAAAAAGTAAGCAGCAATTCAATCGATAAACAACAGATAAATTACTCACATGGCAAACTTCAACTCGTTTCTCCTTACGCTTATACTTCTGCCTGATCTTCTTCTTCTCTGCTGCAACTAACTGCAATTTCTCAATGTTGAACTCCTATAATCCAAAAAAATCAATCAATTTCTCTCTCTAATAAAAAATCTAACCAAAATAAGATAACGAGATCGAAGGAGAGAGAAGGAGTTTGAGGCTCCATTGTTGTAGATAAGAGAGACTGAGAGAGGCAGATGAGAGAGGAGATGAGATCGAGGAAAGAGAAATACATAAGACAGAAAGAAAAGAAAGAAGATAAGGCCCGTTTTTTGTTTTTGGAGAAAGAAAAGAAAGATCACCTTTTTAAGAAAAGCCTGATTACCTTTTTAAGAAAACAAAGATCACCTTTTTTATGGAGAAAGAAAAGAAAGAAGATGTGGGTATGTCTTCTTAAAAAGGTGATCTTCCAAACTTTTGTTAGGCATGTACTCATAAACGAGCAATCTCTATATCCCTCTCTCTCCATCCACAGTGCAGTATCCTATGAGCTTGACAAGATTAGGGTGTTCCACAACACCAAGAAACTGAACTTCTGCCAGCCATTGTTTATGACCCTGCAAAAAACCGGTTATTAATAAAATGACTGTAAGAGACTCTCTGCACTTATGAAGTAATGTATGCTTAAAGGGTGTGTATCACAACTGATAGAATAGTACCTTGTCTGCAGATCCGGTTATAACTAAACTTTCATCCTGTGGAACAATCTTAATGCTGGTAACCTGCAAAAAAAGCAATGAAGTGTAAATAGTTTAACATTTACTAGTCCATATGGCTTTTGCATTGCAAAACCACACATAAGAAAGACCTTTGAATGACCACTTATTGTAGATACAATCTGTCCAGAAGGTCGATCAAAGACAACAGCATTTGTATCAGTCCCTCCGGTCGCAATGATATCCTATAAAAGCATGGATATATAAAAGCATGGTTTGAACAACGGCACTTCGTGCCCTGCTCCTCTTACAGTCGCAAATGTTAGCCCCTCATATACCTCTGTCCATCCTCCAACCTTGAAAAAAAACACATTATAGAACAATTAGGCATATCATATGATATATTTTTTACTTGGAATTCTGTTATATGCGGATTATGAAATAAGTTAGAGCGCGTTTTGTTTACTAACCTGTTTCTTAACATACCAAGGATACCATGGGATTTTAACTTTCAACTTCAACTATGCAAGAGAATACCTATTAGCTGTTACTGGCACTACTGAATCCACATCTCCACTGCAATTCATAAAGATTTGAATAAATGACAGTATATAAATCGCGCATTAAAAATAAAATTGACCTAGGTTTCTGGTCAAATTAACACCTCTAACTACCATACGACTATACCATTAAGAACTATTCAGTAGCAAAGCTCAGTCTAGTTGGTTCATTGCATTATTCGAATCAAGCTCATCGCGACTAGGAATTATCAAAGTTAAAATTACTAAGAATGCATCTGTTCATATTTCCCTATCCTTTCCTCTGCCTTGACCTCCTAAAAGAAGGATCCAACCTACAAAGTTGGACAAGAATGGTTTTTTTTTTTTTTTTTTTTTTTTTTTTTTTTTAGGGAGCCACAATAACGGGTAATATTTAATTGAATTTTTGTCCATTTGTCCCATCATACTATCAAAAAAATACGACATATATCGTGCTAAGACTAACTTCATCCATTTGATACGCTCATTTTAAATTAGCCTACATTATATAATATTTAACTAATTGATGAAACTAGCATGTGCCCGTGCTAATGCATGAGTTTTTAAGTTAGCTATAGTGAAAGTTTGTTTAAAAACACGGCATTAATTATAGACAAAATAATAAAACTATCCGCTCCATACGACCACACCCACAGAAGTATACTACGTAGCAGATAGAAGATAAATGTTGCTTAATTGTTACTTACGCAGCTAATAGGTTGGTTGGACCAAATAAGAAGATTGAAATTGCTTCAAGAGCTATTGTTGTTGAATCAAGAGACAAATATCACCCTTGCTGTACTCTTTCCCTATAAAATCAAAAATATTAGCAAATCGAAAAAAAAAAAAGGTAATGTAGTCAAATTATAGTGAAGTGAGCATAATCACCCTTTAAACTAACTGAAGGAGTTGAATTAATTGATATGAGCAAGAGAATTACATAATTCGGCAAAAATGGATCCAGTCTTGTCCTTGTAGAATTACAGACATGTTGTTACTTGTTAGATCAATCAACAATAACAACTACTACATCCATTCGTTTATGTTACGGAGTTTTTACTATGTTTCACATTCGATTGTTTCCTTTTTACACTTGTTCCCCTTATTAGATAACAAAACAAATAACCCATCAACAAAGATTAAATCATTTGAAGTAATTACTATATATTGAAGGAGTAAATCAATAACAAGAAGTAGAACCTTAATCCCAATGATAGTCAGCTACATGAACCAAAATTTTATCTAAAGAGGCGTGATGATAGAATATAAACAGAGTAAATCGAGTAGAAAAAAAATAATACCTGAGAGAATCCATGTGAAGCAGAAAACAGCAATTGAAGTAGCAGCAAAAATACCCAAAATGGTTTTTGTAGAGTAAAGATTAGGGATAAAATCTGACGCATTAAAATCTTTTGGAAAATTAGGAAGATGAACCTCCATTCTTCTTTCTGTTCTTCCCCAAATGATCTTAAATAATTAAAAGAAAGAGAAGTTTGACTTGAGATTTGTATGACAGTACATACAAGTTTTAGATTAATATATATACAATCATGAATCATGGACAAGTATTGTAAGAATTAAAAGCAAGATTATATACAGTATATAGTTACAAAATAAATGCATGTAGTTAATTGGTCGCTGTCACACTCTATGTTCAGGGCCGCCTTAAACTTATCAGGGACCCTGAGCTAATGGAATTGTATAACCTCACCAGTCACCAGTCTCACCACCCCGGTTTTAATCGAGAGAAATTTTGAAGTCGAGCTAATCCTTAGCTTCCTACTAGTAGATTTTAACCATGCTCAGTAATAGAAGAAATAAAAAACTTGCTATAATGCACAGAAACAGATAACGCATTTTCTTAAGATTAAAAATCAGTTTAGGGCCAAGGAGAACACATTATCAATGCAGATCAAACTCCGTAAAAACAACAATGCTTTGCAGAACATTCGAACATATATAGTCTAAACCTAGTCCGCCTATCTAAAGGTAAACCATCATCTTACCTCGAAGCTGGTTCAATGGAGGTGAGAAAGCTCAAAATCGGTGGAGGTGTAGCCGTGACAAGGAGGCCGTTAGGGTGGAGGTGTAGCCGTGCGCGCTTCAATGACAAACCCTATATTACCACAACCCTAAAATTACTAAATTTAACAGAAAATCAACGACAAACCCTAGATTGCGAAAGAAAATCAATGAATTCGCACAACCACAAGAAAATTCTTACCTCGAAGTGAGTTCAATGGAGGCCAGAGCTGGTTCAATGGAGGTGCTGCTTCAATGGAGTGAGAAAGCGCGTAAACCAATTCAATGGAGAGAGAGCAAGGTGCTTCAATGGAGTGCAGAAGGAGATGCGAAAACGGAGAAGGAAAGCTGGGAGGAAGAGCAGGAGATGCGAAAATGGGAGGGAAAGAAAAGAGCAGAACGAAGAGGGAAAGCAAGGGGAAAAAGAAAAAAGAAGAAAGAAAGCCTTAAACTGTTTTTTTTTTTAACATTTCGCACCGGTTTTGGTTAGAACAGGTGGCAAATCCATTTTCTCCCTTTTTCTTTATTTTTTTTCGTTTGTAATTCGCACTGGTTTGAACCGGTGCGAAAAAGATAATTTCGCACCGGTTTAATAGGAACCAGTGCGAAAAGCCATTTAGCTTATCCCGCCCTTTTCTTTTGCCACCGGTTTTCAAGAACCGGTGCGAAAGGTGCGGTGCCTAATTCATTTTTTCTACTAGTGAGTGTTGCATCAGTTGTAAGGTCATTTGTTTTGTTTAAAGTCCTTTTAAGCCAAGGCTGGAACAAATAATGGTTATTGAGTTCCATAATCAGCATACGATCCGTTTACACACGGAAAGACTCACATTCAAAAGTAAAAGCAATAGTTGCTAGGTTTACTTGAATGACATGGTCGCATAAGCCATGAGTCAAGAATGCTTGATTATAAACAAACATTTCCCAACCATGAAACTCACAAAGTTCAAGTTATGGACATGATTTGTGTTCCAAACCCTTTAGCAATGTCACTAACAACAAGAACGTACTCAAGGCTCTATTAGATAGAATCTTGATAGATGATCGATTCGGAATCGTTCTAAGACAAGAAAGTCTTACTTGTTGAAATAGACAAACAAAGGAGCTATTGTGCTTGGTATAGACAATTGACTCCGAAAGCTAAAAGGAATTCATTACTTCAATGTCTCACAATAATTTGCAAGAATATGGCTATATTCATCAAAGGTGAGCAAACTGGACCTCAAGTAGCTCAAATGATCAGTGAAGTATAGAATCGACTTGACAAGATATCAAAACATCTAGATTAGATCAAGTGATGTTTGCTTGAGCCAAGTGTGATCATATCAAACTTATGAAATTGAAATTTCATAAAGAGCTCCAAAAGAACATAGTGTGTCTAGACGGAGAACTCGATGCCATTTGGAAATGACTCGAATGATGATAGATCACATCCCTTCCTATAAAGTTCTTAAAGATTTGCACAAATGACTAATGTTACACTAAACAAAAATGTCGAAGCTAAGAAAGGACACCATATTCAGTTATGGATAGAAATAGTTTCTAGCGTCTTTTCAAGTATATGTCTAGGGCTCTTAGCTCAGTGGGAGTTCATTAACTCAGTGGGAGCTAAGTGGCTCAATAAGGGCTAAGATAGCTCGAGAAGTAGCTAACTGTTTGTTTCACAACGAACTTTTACCCGAAGACAATATACATGTCTCTTTGTAAGTATTCAAGTGAGACTACGGGCATTACCTCCACAACCTAATTGAGGACATAGTATTTGTTGCTCTAAATGGTGTCTTTCTCGAAAGTAACACCTTTCCAAAATGACAAGTGGGAGGAAAATCGAACTTGGACGAAGTTCGAGAGGACGAGCAACAATGTCAACCTGATAAAACTGACAATCAAAATGCTTTAGAAGCAGTTGATAAGATTGGTCAGAATCAAACAGACAGTGTAAATGCTCAACTCGGACGAAGTTCGAGAACTGACAATCAAAATGCTTTAGAAGTAGTTGATAAGATTAGTCAGAATCAAACAGACAGTGTAAATGCTCAACTTGGACGAAGTTCGAGAGGACGAGCAACAATGTCAACCTGATAAAACTTACAATCAAAATGCTTTAGAAGCAGTTGATAAGATTGGTCAGAATCAAACAGACAATGTAAATGCTCAACCTATTACCCCGTATAGGTATAGAATTCACCAAAGGCTTGGATTGAATCCTATAAATTTCTATCAAGTTAGAAATAAACCTAAGACTTACAGACATATTATTCACCATTGGATGGTGAGAGAATAGTGTCTTGTAAATTAGCTACGACAAATCCAAATTCCAAATAATGGTTAGAGGCCATAAAATCCGAAATAGACTCCATGTTTGTAAATCATGTTTGGAACTTGATTCATTTGCGTAAAGGGTGACAAACCCATCAATCGCAAAAAGGTTTTCAAGGAGAAAACTAACAAATGTGGAAATGCACAAGCATACAAAGCTAGATTGGTTGAAAAGGATACAATTAATTCACGGCGTTGATTTTAATAAAAACCTATTTCACCAATCGAAACGCTAAAGTCTTTTCATGATTGTTCTAGCAAAATTGCGCATATGAAATATGGCAAGATACGAAACCGCCTTCCGAAAATTGGATTTTGGGAAGAGACTATGGAAATAGTCTAAGGGTTTTGCAATTCTAAATAAATGCTAGATTTGAAAGCAAGCTTAGAAATCTATTTTGGGATTAAATGAAGCATTGCATGAAGGAATTGGAACATGCATTCTCATAAAGTCAATAAAAGGTTTGGCCAAAGGAGAATCATAGAAATTCTTATAAACAAGAAGTTTAGTGGGAGCAAGAGTCAATCTTGTATGGTCCAACAAGAAGTTTGTGAACTCTATTGTGAAATGACTATCAAATGCTAAATATTTAGATTTGAAAGGATTTTCGACAATGGACCAAGCAAAAGGCGACACTTAGTACATATGGGAATTAAGATCTATTGGATATACTTAATGAAACGTTTAAACGAGTAAGGGAATTTACCGTGTTAAACATGAAGGACTTGAAAAGGCTTTCGACCCATATGTATAAAACTAAGTAATTGTTTTAACTAAGTATAAGCTGGGCAAATGCTAAGTCAAACAAGAAAGACTCTGGTAGAGACTTTCAACTATGTCACATAGAAAACAATTTAGCAAGACTCGGTGAAATTGGATGAGCTAAAAGTTACATGGATGGAATCACATTGGGAATAGTTCTGCAATTAAAACCATCATGTACGCTATGATATGGAATCGCCACAAGCTTACATTCTTAAAGCATGAAAAGTATAAAATACCAATCAATCTAAATCTAAATGATGAATCGTTAGATTATGGTCAAGAAAATCCAAAGTACTTTGATAAGTAAAAGGGGATGAGTTCTTGACGCATAGAAACAATTGTAATTTGAGAAATTGATGTTGCAAGCACATACTTAGCAAGGATTAGATCCTTAATAAGGAAGTCGTTTATAAGCACGAGCTAGAATGCGTCGTGGCTTGAGAATGGTAACATGGACAAGAATCCATGTATAATGTGCGGAAATTTAAGGTAAATTTCCATAATCACAAGTGATTAGGGTCTCCCAAATCATTGTGAGTCGTTCGAAATAAAATCTAAGTAAAGCAACATTAGAATGTCTACTGGAATATACGTTGAGAATATTGTTGCCTAGAAGGAAATAATAAGAAAGTGTTCAATGGAAAGTTCGTTGTCAAATGTTGATTGTAGGTTGCCAAGTTGAAAGATTTCAAGTCATGAAAATGAGTGGGAGCCATCACTTGGACAATAAATCCTAAATCACATATGATCCATAACACTCTCAAAATCTTATTGTCTTATTATGAAATTATTCGATAATGAAGATGCTAAGATTCGCAAAGTAATAGTGGCTAAACCTATGCAATAAGTGAACGACAACATTCGCAATTGCATAAAAGAAATCAAGCATATTAAGTATGGGTGTGATTTCTATAAATGTTTAATGAAGAGTATAACTCTTGAAACATTTGAAGAAAGCCATTTATCATAAGATGAAACGTTGAAAAGTTTCATGGTGGAATAAAATTTTACTAATAAAATTCCACAAACTATTTTATTCTGGTTTAGAATCAAATAATGAGTGCATTCGATTTGTGAAAATATTCAAAACAGGGTATCAAGACCATGTCTTGGATAAAGAAACACCTGTTAAGTGAACATTGAATATTTAAATCGAAAATTGTCCCTAATCGAGGCCATTTAACCAATGGACGATTAATGACCACTGGAGATTAGTGTGTAGTATGATTTATAGCACCGTTTCTTGTGCTGCAAGGACATAGAAGTCATAAATCATTTGCACAGGTGCTAGTTTGGAACTGCACCGGATCGACCTATGAGAGTACTTTAAGAGATTTATAATCGTCATAAGTACAATTCTCATTATGACTATCGGAACCTCTTTCCTCGACCATGAGTATTGTGAAGTTCTCTTGTTTGAGTACTAGTCTCTTTGATGTTGTCCAACATATGCCATAACTGGGGATCATAACGGCAACACTTGGGTGACTAGGTCCTCTTAGTAGGAAAGCTTACAATACAAGACTGGGAATGCCCCCCTACTAACAATAGGGAATATGTCTTTGTTGTTTACAAGGCCGCTCGTAGGCGTGCTAGGACATGTGTGCCAGCAGGGCCATGCGCCCAAGCCATCACATCATCGCATATGCGTGAGGATGTGCTGGGCGTTGGCGCTAGGCAAGGGCCTAGCACTGCACCATCGCATGTGTGCTGGCACTAGCCATGGCCTGGCACTGCTCTCACACCATCACATATGCATATGCGTGCATATGCGCTGCTAGCACAGCAGGGTCGCAACTTGTGTGCGTGAAGATGCGTTGCTAGCACAACACTCGCTGGACGTGCATGTGCGCATGCATAGCTAGCACAACACCAAGATGCAATGTGCTTGTGTGTGTGCGTAGCAATGCAGTGCCCGGCATGCGTGGCTCGCTAGCAGCACGCATGCTGGCAAGGGTGCTCGCTATGCTGGCCGCAACATGCATGCTGGCTAGCAAGCACGACCAAGGCACCAGGCGCCAACAAGGCTGCCTTGGTTGCCAAGGCTGGCTGGCAGCCAACTGTCCCAGCCATTTGGTGGATACGGTTTGGGTGAGGGGACCAAGGCTTGTGGGCATTGCCTTAAGCATCAAGGCAATGGTCCCCCCCTCTTGAAATGGTCCCCACCTAATCACTTTTCCTCCATTTGCCACTTGTAACTCATTGATTGCATTGTTCATTAATTTGTTTTTTGATTAAAATAAATTAGTAAGAAAATGCAATTCTCCCACATGGATGGGAGAAGGGAGATTCAAGTCTCCTTTCCTTATAAATACCCAAGTTTGGGTTTTGGGAAAAAACTACTTGATTTGAACTCAATGAGGCATCTCCCTTAAGGTGAGAAAACCTCTAAGTTCGTAACTCTAGTCTTTCTTGGTCTAGCCCCGACTAACCTTCGGGGTAGGGGACTTTCGGGTCAGGTCTGAAGGGTGGACTCCGTTGGAGGCCGTCGCACTTGCGAGGCTAGAGCTTTCGAAGTAAGACCTCGATTTGCGAGCGAAGCACGCATCAAGGGTATGATTTCTTTCTCTCTTCTTTTAATTATTGCTTAATTATGTTATGCTTGTTTTAATTGCTTTAGTTATCGGGGCGAGTCTTGGGGGGTTTCCTTTCCGCGTAGTGTGGGTCACTACGAAACCCAACAGTTTTGTTTTGCTTTTGCTTTGGACATAATACTTTTGGACTCGTATAGTTGAATGGTTTACTTCTTAAATGGTAATGGTGTGCACGGTTTGAGAATATGCTTGGTTTACTCTAAGATAGAGTATGCTAAGGTAGTGTGTTTAGAACTTTTGGGACCTTGAAGCCCTAGTCTACTTGTTTTTGGTAAGAAGGTGTTGCTTCCTATAGTGGATTTGAAGCTAATAGTGAGTTATTGCTACAACCATGCGAGGTTTTTGACTATCGCCTACTTTATCTAGAACTTGACCTTTATCTCCCGAAATCGCGACCGAACCATTTTGGAAGGACAAAGGCATCTTTTCGGGGTGGTAATTTTTCCTTTTCTAGGATTGGATTTTATATTTTTGGTTTTGGGTTTACACTTGCCTTCTTGCTAACAATTTGAGCCTTATACCCACTTTTCTAGCCATATTACTAGCTTTTGAGCCATTTGTTTCAGTTTTCACTACACGAATAGAGCAAATTGGCAACGGTTCAAACCCCCCCAAAGGCAACGGTTTTGAACCGTTGCGTATTAGAGGGTTGCCAAATCCCAAAATAATTGGCAACGGTTCAAAACCGTTGCCAATTGCTATGGCGTTTTTTTTTAATTAAATTTAATGTAGTTGGCACTGGTTAACCGGTGCCATTGACTTGTTTTTCTTTTTTTTTTTTACAGTTCAAAATCAGCATAAACTTACACCATAATCGTTTAAACCAAAAAAAAAAAACACCAGAATCGTATCAATGAACAACAAAACACCAGAAAAATAATGAACACCATAATATACATGAATATATTATATTAAATAAATTGTTATTTTACAATTTATAAAAAAATTATATAAATAAAAACGCAACAATGAACAACAAAACACCAAATCCTTGAATCTTGAATCCTTCGTCTATGAGCAATTGCTGTAGTTGTAATACTACCTGCATCAATTAAATTAAAACCCCAAAAATCAGAAAAAAATTCGAACCAATAACCTGGAAACTAATAAACCCAGAACATTAAACAAAGAAAAAACCATTGTTACGTTTTAATCTAGAACCTAATAAACCCAGAAAAAACCAATAATCTAGAACGAACCTAATAAACCCAGGAAAAACTAACAAAAAAACTAGAAACAAAAAACCCAGAAAAAACCAAAGGAATTCGAACCTAAAAAATTCTGAAAAAATCCGAACCCAGAAACCCAGAAATTTAAACAGAAAAAACCAAAAAAAATCGAACCAATCAAATTCGAAACCCAGAAAACAATCCGAACCCAAAAACCCAAAAAAAACCAAAGGAATTCGAACCCAAAAATTCGAAAAAAATCCGAACCCAGAAATTTAAACCCAAAAAACCCAAAAAATTCAAGAAACTAAGAAACCAAGAAAAAATCGAGAAAAAAAAACCAGGTATTCGAACCTAGAAAAACCCCAAAAAACGAAAAAATTTCGAACCCATAAATTAAAACACGAAAAAAACCAAAAAAATTCTAAAAAATACCTTGCGAATATGAATTGGAGAGATCTGAGGTGCATGCGAGATTTTGGAGATAATCTAAGGGAGATGAGAGAGAAGGAGCTCTGAATGAATAATGAATTTGAGGGAGATGAGAGAGAACGAGAATGAATTTGAGGGAGATGAGAGAGAACGAGAATGAATTTGAGAGAGAGATAGAGGGGTGGCTGAGGGAAAGAATAAAAGGAGCCCAAATTTTTTTTTTATTAATTGGCAACGGTTAACCGTTGCCAACACTAATCCTCTTATTTTTTTTTTTAAATAATCAGTTGGCAACGGTTAACCGTTTCCAACTCTAACCCTTTTATTTTTTTTTTCTTTTTAAAAAAAAATTATCAGTTGGCAACGGTTAACCGTTGCCAACTCAGAAATTTTAATTGGCGCTCATTTTAGTTGGCAACGGTTTTCATGAACCGCTGCCATAGGGGGGTTGCCTATTTGGTTTTTTCTACTAGTGTTTGTTTCCATATTTGGTTTTTCTAAAGCAATTGATCCATAGTTTGTTGGTGCTTATGGGAATATGAGCATGGTTATTTGGTTCTATTGCTAAGCAAGTATGTGTTGTATATAAAGTGTATGAATAAAGGCGAATGCAAGTTGAAAAAGTTGTCCATAGTTAAAAGAGGCGAGGACAAAGCAATAAAGTATAATAAAGAGCAAAAGCAAATGCTCTTAAAAAAATAAAAAAAAAATAAAAAAAGATAAAAAAAAAGGAAAAAATGAAAAGCACAGAAATATTTTGATGTAAGTGTGATCTCTAGTTTAGAGCATTGAGGACAATGCTCCATTTAAGCTTGAGGGAAGCGTTCTTACGCTTTTTGTATATATGTTTGTGATTTTTGCTTTGAATAAGCTTAGGGGTGTTGTTGTTTTTGTTTGGTGATTACTTGATTATGGTGTTGAGGATTGATCACCCTTTGCTTCACAATTTAGGTATACCACCAAATTTTAAATTTTAGCTTACCTTTACTCTTTTTGTCCATCCGTTACAACCCTTAAAAAACCTTTTAACCTTTGTGGTTGAGTCACAAGTCGGTGGAGGGAGATGGGAGTCAAGCTTATGGAGCGGTTTGCATAGTCAAGATGTCGAGTAGCCCTAAAATCTCTTCTTTTCCAGATCCTTCGAGGAATCATTGAGATGCTCACTAGAGGTGGATTTGAAACTAGTAGGGAGAACGTGGTAAGATTATTTGGGATGAAGGTGAATTGTGTCTTATTAGTTCTCTATGCTTAGCATATTTTATGTTTCAATAAACCTTGGATATCTTGAAACGTGCACTCCTTTATTTGCTTAGAAAGAATTGCATCCATTTGTGCTTGTACATTTGTAAATGTCCTTTCAAGAGCAATGTTTTCTTTACTTTTATTTTGATTTTCCTTTCATGTTTTTCCTTTTTTGTTTGGTTTAGGAGAGTTATGGGGTAAACTCTTAGGAAACCGTTACGAGACCTCACTCGTCCTCATTGTCGACTTTGGGGTTTTAAGGGCTTGTTGTAGCTAAAAACAATTGTGATTCATACAAAAGTGAGTTAGTGTATATTCTCATCTCCCCTCTTCTTTTCTTCTTTATTTGAATAAGCTCATCATTTTCCTTGCTAGCTTTTGTTTTGCTCGAGGACGAGCAAAAGTTAAGCCTGGGGGAATTTGATGAATGCCATTTATGGCACTCATTTGACGAGTTTTTAGGTTGTTTTTACTTTCTTTTTATAGCTTTCTTTATAAATAAATGCTTGGTTTTGTTCATTTTCTCTTTAGTTTCCTTATTCTTTCTTATTTTGTGCTTTTGTCCACTTTCGTGGATTTTCTAGTGTTTTTACCTCTATTTGTTCTCTTTACGTGGTTGTAGGTATTGTACGAGGTTCAGGTCCTCATATTGGTGGCTTACCAAGTTGGAAGTTGCCTTTGGATCAAGCTTATAGCATTGAGAAAGCTCAAGAAGTAAGAAAGTGGCATGCTCTAAGTTCTAGCTCTTGCGCTCTTAAGTCGCGCTCTCATGAGATCATGGTGTTGAACCCACCGTCAACTCCATTTGAATCTACCATACTTGGTGACTATCATAAAGATATTGCGTGCACACACAAAGACCCATTTGCGAGCGCACGAAGCTACAAAGCGTCGAAGGAACACAAAAGAGCACGGGCTCGCACACCCAGCGCAGCGAGGGCGCGTTCCCTGTTTTCCAGGTTATTTCAAATTCGTATTCCCGCCTCCTATAAATACCCTTTAATAACCAATTTTTGTAAGAAGTTTTTAGACATTATTTTCCTCATAATTTTAGCTAGCTTGAGAGTTTCTCTCTCTAGTTTTAGAGTTAGTTTTAGGAGTAGATTTAGAGAGAGAAAGTGAGAGATTTCAATGGTGATTTGAGAGATTGATGATGCAAGGGTGACAATTGTACTGAAGATCTTCTCAATTATCAATGAGCATTTCTAACTCTATCTCATCTTATTGATCTCTAGCTAAACGATTAGGAGATAGCTCTTTGATTCCAATTGATAGCTCTTTGATTCCAATTGATAGCTCTTATCATTAGTCTTCACAACCATTGATTAGCTTAACCTTCACAAGTTGTTGCAATTGTCATGATTACTTGTTGATCCTCATTCCCTAGTGTTTCATTTGTTTGCTTATTTTATTTGGTAGTTGATTAGTATTAGTTACTCTATTCTGCACCCTTGACTTCGATCTAGCCTAGGCGCATATTGGAAACATTTAAGCATAATCGTTCCTAGTGGTTCGACCCTTGACCTACCTCTATACTTGTTTATAGGTTTATTAAGTATTTATAATTTTGTTTGGCTCTAGGGAGGATTAGTCAACGACCTAGTTTTCCCTACGTTAAATTGTTTTATGACGTTCATGTCCTTGTAGCACAAGAAACGGTGCTATAAATCATACTACACACTAATCTCACACGGTCATTAATCGTCCATCCTTTAAATGACCTTGATTAGGGATAGTTTCGATATGACATTCAATGTTCACTTAATAAGTGTTTCTTTATCCAAGACATTGTCTTGATACCCCATATTGAATATCGTCAAATCGAATGGATTTACCATTTAATTCTAAACCATAATTAAATGATCATGGAATAATAATAATAAGCATATTTATTCCACTATGAAACTTTTATGATAAATTGTTTTCCAAAACATTTTGAAAGTAATACTCTTTAAAAAAACATTTATAAAAATCACACCCATATCTAATATGCTTGATTTCTTTTGTGCAATTGTGAATGTTGTGGTTTACTTATTGCACAGGTTTAGTTATGATTACTTTGCAAATCTTAGCATCTTCATTATCAAACACTTTCATAATAAAATGATAAATTTCGAGTGTGCTATGGATTACATGTGATTTATGATTTACTGCTCAAATGATGGCTCCCACTCATTTTCATGATTAGAGACCTTCAACTTGGCAATGTACAATCACAAAAGTTCAACAAAGAACTATCCATTGAAAAACTTCCCTTTTTTATTGTCTCTAAGGCAACAATGCTCTCAACATATACTTTAATAGACTTCCTAATGATGCTTTGTTTAGATTTTACTCCAACTATTTCACAATGATTTGGGATACCCTAATCATTTGTGATCGCGGAATTTTACCTAAAATTTTCGCACATTACACATGGACGTAATTCCATGTTACCATTCTCAAGCAACGACACATCTAAGCTTGTGCTTATAAATGGCTTCCATAATAAGGATTTATCCTTACTAAGGTTGTGCTTGCAACATCAAGACTCAAATTATATTTATTTCCATGCATCAAGAACTCATCCTCTTACTTAACCAAGTACTTTGGATACTATTGATCATAATCTAACGATCCATTATTTAGATTCAAGTCGATTGGTACTTTATACTTGTCATTCTCTAAGCATGCAAGTCATGTGATGATTCCATATCGTAGCATACATTATGGATTCAATTGCAGACTATTCCCAAAGTGATCCCACTCATGTTACTTTTAGCTCATTCAGTTTCATTAAATCTTGCTAAACTGTTTGCTATATGATACGGTTGAAAGTCTCTACTAGAGTCTTTCATATTAGACTTAGTATTTGCTTAGCTTATACTTTATTCCAACATTTACTTAGTCTTATACATATGGGTCGAAAGCCTTTTTAAGTCCTTCATGTTTAACACGGTAAATTCCTTTACTCATTCAAACATTTTATTATGTCTATCTAATAGATCTTAATTCCCACTATGTACTAAGTATCACCTTAGCTTGGTCCATTATTGAAAATTACTTTCAAATCTAAGCATTTAGATTTGATGTAAACTTCATGTTGGACCTTACAAAATCAACTTTTGCTCCCACTAAACTTCTTATCTAAAAGAATTTCTATGATTCTCAATAAGTCAAACCTTTTATTAACTTTATGAGACAACATATTCCAATTCCTACATGCTTCCCTCAATCTACCAATGGATTTCTTGAGCTTACAGTCAAATATAGCATTATTTAGATTAACAAAACCCTTAGACTATATCCATAGTATCTTCCAAAATTTCATTTTAAGAAGGTGGTTTTGATATCTATTTTGTCATATTCCATATATGCAATAATTGCTAGAATAATCACGAAAAGACTTAAGCATTCCGATTAGTGAATAAGTTTTATTAATTTCAACCCCGTGAATTTAATTGTTACCTTTTCCACCAATCTAGCTATGTATGCATATACATTTCCATATTTGTTAGTTTTCCCCTTGAAATTTTATTTACAATTTATGGGTTTTTACCCTTCATGAAAATTAATCAAGTTCCAAACCTGATTTTCAAACATGGAGTCTATTTC